CCTGGGACATGTGCGGAAAGTGGGTAAACCGCAAAGTGGAGTATGGGTTCACGGTCGCAAAACTCAGAAGCACGGTCCCAGCTTATTTCCTGGCCGAAGGCAGTAAACCGTACAGGCTTAATCTTCGGCACGCCCAGTCATGAAACGAAATTTGGAAAGCCATGACCGCGCTGAAAAATGGACCTAGCTGTTTGGGGACTTGCAGTAGTATCTAGTGTGATCTGGTTGATCAAGTGCCTCTTGCAAAGAATGTGTCCAACTCGAAAATGAAAGGTGTTCGATTTGGTTTAAAAAGTGTCGCTTTCAGTCCAAAAAGTGTTCGAATGGGGTCGATACGATTCGGAATGAAAGCGGTATAGATCAGAAGTCAAAACCCATTAATGTTCAGTCATTTGAATGCTTAATAACTAACATTTACGAGTTAATGGTCCAAAAAAATCAAATATAATAAAATGTGGTGTATATTCGATACGAGCTGAATTAATTATTGGGCGAAAATTCTTTGCTCTCAAGTTACACCAAAATAATAATAATACATGAGCCGCTCAATACTAACCGTACTATCACCATTCGGCGACACAAGCTCGTCATCGTCATTTGATGCCGCCTTGACGACGGTAGACCTGCAAAAGAGAGATAAAATCTGAGCGCTGTTCAATCGCTTCTGGGGCGAGTACACCATTTATTCCTATTCCGAACCTATTCTGTTTCCCTTTTGAATGAGGCAATTGATGGTTTTCAGAGCAAATGTACAGATAAAGCTCGGAATCTCGTGCGTTTCAGTGAAAATAGACTCGCTCCTTCCTCCCTCCCCCGAAGCCAGTTTTGAGTCACCTGACGCTAAACCAGAGTTTCAAAGGCATCCTGCGCGCTAACGCTTGGGCCCGAAAATTGCAGAGATACGGAGTTGCAGGGTACCATTCTCACTACCGTGAACCTTCTCTTACCATACTGAAAAGAGTTAGGAACAACTTGAACTCAATCCCTTTGATCACGCCAGCGTTCTGCCGCTCTCTGCAGTCTCACTTATGAAGATATACAAACACTGCGACCTCATACATTTCAATTTTTTATGCACAGTAAGTGGCTGAACTATCGGAATGCTCCCCCCTTTGCAGCATCCCTTTACTGGCCAACCAGATGTTCTTGCGCACCTCTGGATGCTTTGACGTCCGTTATCTTCTATTCGTTTTCACAGCAGGGTTTCGCAATAAGACTACGTCGAAAGGTTCAAGTAGTTGCGTACCCACAGGGATTCGGGTGATGGGGTGCACCAAGGGGAAGTCAAAATGGTGGTGAGCTCATTGGAATACGCCTCCAACGATTCCATCACCTCACATTACAGAAAACGTGGTACAGAACATACGGATTTTGAGAATGTTCGAGTTCCTTCGCTTCTTCGGCATCATGTCCCTTGTTGGACTAGAGTCAAAAGTCTTGCTGATGCTTGGTCTTCATTTTGAACGGTTTTACCTGAAACAATAGCATCCTAGGGAGAAGCACTGCGATTTCATGTCACAAGAATGCTGAGTTATGGGCAAAAGTCGTGCCCCAGGCGGGAGTCGAACCCGCACCTCACGCTTTCCGGGCGAGTGCGCTATCCGTTACGCCACCAGGGCCGCTTTTACCCTCTCAGCTTAACGGCTTTTATGCCGTAGCCTTACAGCACTCACACGTACCTTCAGCACTCACGCGCAGTTTCATTTTCCATCGGAAGTATATTAAGCACCGTTCTGTTTTCGAACCAAACCTTGTCTACCGGGGGGGGGGGGCAAAAAAAGACGCTTCGACCGAGCCACATATCAGCAAAGCTTTGAACAGGAGCTTTGCTTATTATATTAGAACAACTTATGACCAATAGAAAATCAAACGAAATAAAAAAAACTGCTTGTAAAGATGGCAGATTCGCAAGGTTACCTACAATGTTACCTACAATGTCGAAGATGAGAGTGGAACTTCGCTACTATGCCATTGTACGCGAAAGCATAATCAAATATCAAATATAATAGTAAGTACCTGCATTGATCACCTCCGCGTAGCCAGCGTATAGAGGCATTTTTGAGGGATATTTTGGACAGAGAACGGGACGAACACATTGGTCGGCTGACAGCATAATCTCATCCTCGGAGAAGTAGAGAAACTCTGGTCGGGAATAAGGATAGAGCTGCTTTTCCACAAGAGCTGAAAATACGCCAAAACAATCGATGATGTTCATATTTCTTCTGAAGTTCAAGTGTCAGACCTCTTCAAAGCTCAGTTTACGCCGGCCATATAGGCGGAGTCGGGCATACCCTAGGGAAATCCCCACGATCGTGCCTCACTCAAAAATGCATTTCCTGTATGCTAGGGAAATTGCCTCTTTGAAGGCATGGTTAATGCTGGTCTGTGGACGGGACAGGTCTACTCTTCGCTAGTGTGTATCTGATCCTTCTAAAGGAGAAAAAGGAGGAGCGCGCCAGTGGGGCACAACGATAAGGCTCACTCCGCCTGTATGGTTAGCGTGGACGGCTCTTTCAAGTCAAGGGACACGACCTATACCTGTGTGCCTCGGATTCCAACGGTGGGGAGACTGAGTCGGCGCAGTTCGGTGACGGGGTAAGGGGGGGGGGGGGGAGCATTTTGCGCTTTGGCCACTTCCCATCGACGTGTCGAGCCATTGAGAGAATTGTGAATTGACAGGTTTTATCATGGTGGCTGGACGAGCTTGCTCCAGCTTCACAAGAGTTCACAGGTTTCACCAGAGTGAGACTTGTAAACCGGAACTAGTGAAGCAGCGAAAGTGCAAAATGGCCCCCTGTCACCGAACACCCGGGTAAAACCACTAAATCTCTACGTTTCCTACCATTCTTCCAGTGATGGACTGCCCATCGGCACCTCCGCTTTATCTAGTATGAGCTGTATACAATCCACTCACATGGAATGAGTCCTCCAATGAACTTCGCATCGGATACGTCGACCACCATCCCCACTTTCCCTGATTTCGGCTTATCAGGCATCTCGTTGGCCACCCGTGACATCGCTGAAACCACCCGCGACGCAATGTCCATACCTAAAATTTCTTGTGAGCTTCACAAAATGAAACCAAATTCTGAAAAAAACCAGGTTCACAAACACGATAACCGCGACACTGAAAACTTGTGAGAGCGATTACGCTCGATTTACTACAGAAGCTCCCACATACAGGGTAGTCGTGCTGTGTGAAATGGTGGTGTCAGTACGACCGCCCCCACCTTGAAGGAGGATCTCTGTGCGACCCCCCCCCTTCGCCCTTCCCCAACGCCTAACCGATTTTCCACATTTTCCACTTTTTAAACCGAAAATTTCCTTCGACCGTAAGAGTGTATAGTACAAATGAAAGAGGGAGCCAGGAAAAATCATGAAAAGTCAACAACCGGGGAAAGTTTCTTCCCAACCCGGCAAATTTCTCTCAGAGCCATATACGAACCGCCCCCTTCACAACAGCGACCAAATACGACTACTCTCCCCAGCGTAAACGATGCTGTACCCTGCCCACATATTGTCACACTCTCGTCGCACCTTATGACTTGTGGATTTAATCGTTGGCCGTTCGCTCGACGTCCTGCTTGTGTGGGAGCCGTATCAAAGGGAAAAATGTGGGTAGCGGGTTCGTATCGCGAAAATTATTCGCTTCCGGGTGCCTTGATGGCAACGTCTTGAAAAGCAAAACATTTTAGCTAAGCGAATTTTTTCACCATGATTGATCAGTTGGTGTAAGGGGCAGAACAGCGGCTCCAGTCGCGGGAAACCTTACTGATAGGGAGAAAGTTCAGTCCATGGGTGGGTTCGAAGTCCACTTCCACGATCCCCGAATAAGCAGCTTGCACAGGCACTTTGGAAAACAAACAAAATTTAGCAGTATGGTTCTTTTTATGGCGATGTTCGTTCATTTTTCTGTACCGCAATACAAATTTCAGGTTGTGAGCTTACCAAGTCACAACAACAGCTTATCGACTGAAATTGTGAGTAGGAATTACCATGAGTCCCTGTATTTGGCATTGTAAGCGGCTCAAAACGAATGCAACTACAGCAGGACGTGAAGTGATTAGTTTCAACCAACTCCTAGGATAGGCCGCGCATTCGACGCTACCTTCTTAATCGCAGTGAATTTGGAATGTGATTCCTTGTTCACTGATCGTGTAGAATCGATGAGTGAGCCAACTGAGTGAGGGAGCCATGCAAGCCGTTCAACTCCATTTTCATCCTCCCCAATGAATCTGCTACGAACTTCACCGACCTCGAAGTAATGGAAAGTATCACTGATCTGCTCGGGAGTGAATACAGGATTTCACTCCGAGGTCCTGGATCTGCTGACAACTCCAGCTAGTTCCAAGGCACGCGGTGGGTTCTCCCCATCAGCAACTTGAGAAAAGTGGTGGGAAATGGGAAATATAGGAAGACGGCAGGTAGGATGGCGAAGGGGCGTCATACTACCACAGGACAAAGTTCAGAGAGTGTGTATTGCAGAGATTTTGCCACCAGTAAGACGTGTCCTGGTTGGATTTGTCCACTGCTCTTATCACAGCATGCAAAGCTCCATAGGCCCCTTGAAACTGAACAACAAATGGATCGTAAGACTTCCTGCGTGGGCGCAGGCAGCGTAGTGGCAAGATACACGGCATCAAAGCTTGCATCGTCTCTATTCAGGCCAATCAATCTCTTCAATCCTCCAGGGTTGGTGGTGCAAGACTGCAAATTGGTGCAAGACTGAAGAAAGCGATATTAAATTGTTCACTGCCCTGGCAACTCATAGCATGGACTAAAACACGTTCATAGCACCACTGCAGTTCTGAATAGAAGTGGATTGCGCCCGCCCCGCCGCCCTATCAATCGCTGGTTTAGACCATTGAAAAGCACTGCACCAGCTCAGCAATTGGCCGCCAGCAGAGAGTCCATAAAATTTTGCAATAAAGGCGTTGTTTATAGTCCCAGAAGGATGTTTGTTCCGGTTTTCCCAGCATGTCGAATGCGTCTTTCTCCGTGATAACATCGAATGGGAACTAAAGGCTCTTGCTTGTTTTTAGAAGTTACATCGATCGATCGAAGAGGGCCTTTGGGTACAAAAAGATATCGTCGATAATAATATAATATAATAATAATAATAATAATAATAATAATAATAATAATAATAATAATAATAATAATAATAATAATAATAATAATAATAATAATAATAATAATAATAATAATAATAATAATAATAATAATAATAATAATAATAATAATAATAATAATAATAATAATAATAATAATAATAATAATAATAATAATAATAATAATAATAATAGTAATAAGCGAAATATGAGCGCTTTGTGAAATGGGAAAACCGAGAAAAGCGAATAACCGAAAAAATTTTTCACAAAAGCAAATAGCGACACCCTTCTTCCAACGACCAAATACGACCCCTCAGTGGGGATCCCCGACGTGCGAGCCCTATTAAGGGGACAATTTGGGCGAAGCTGAGATCTCCGAGATGAGATTAGGACATTCGCCCAGGCCTAAAAAGGGATCTTTTTGTGAACCAACTCAAAAAATTGATGTACTTCTATTTAACTGACGTTGGTCCCAAGGGTTCCTTTAAATGCCCCCCTCCCTAGGAAGGTTATTAAAGGCAGTTGGCACGATGATTTGGTGCTCAGCCTAAAATGCTAGTAGGGCGCTATATAGTGGGGAAATGGCGAAAGAACGGAGTGAAACGGTCAAAATCCTGCGAAGAAAAAGCCTCCGTTCTCAGTGACTTGAAAATCGATTTCGGACGAGTTTCCCGTACGCATCTTGCCAATCACCGCTACCGAAGATACGGCTGCATATGTGTACCCATATATGCATGCAGCATCACGGCCGCTTCATACCAATCCCTTTGCTTCATAATTTGCTCAGCAAATGAATGAATGAATACGAGCGTCAGGAACGGTCGTCCGTTTGTGGGCGGGCGGGCGGGAAGGCGTTTGGGACGTAAAGTTGTGGCTTGATAGGGCCCTTATAAGGGCACCTTCCTCGGGGAAACCGCTATGCAGCGCCTGTCCGAGGTCACGGAATTCTGTTAAGCCAGTCGTATAAATCCTACATCTGTATAGCGATTTATCGTGCCAACTGCCTTTAAGCCTGAAACTCCAATATGATAGGGAAGCTAGTAATTTCTAATTCACGATGGTGAAATGATTTGATGACATGACATGCCTGCAGTAAGCTGCTGGAGGTGGAAGAGATTCAGAAGCCTGATCCTGCCTGAAAATCGATCTCACTATGATTGGAGAGGCAGACACGCCCGAAATAGTGCAGTGGAACCGTGCAGCTGCAGCTTTGGGGAGAATAGCTGCGCCCTCACAGACAGACCGAGTGTGTTGCCCAATGTCAATACTAATCGCATAGCTGCTGTGGAGCTTGTTATTTACTGTTAGTGTTTTTCTGTTTTCAAAATTCTGTTCACCTAATTTTCGAAAGTTGCCCCGAACACACAGCAATAAATAAACAAAATAACTGCAAAGCTCCCAAAGAGCAGAAATGCAGCGGATCGATAGAGGATTGTTTGGAAAACGGTTGCTCTAGGAGGAAAGAAATCAGATCAAGGGCATGCGCCACAGACTGTCTTCTGACTGGTTTCCCCTATAATTACTCGAACTTCGACCTCTAGCAAGTGTGACCTTACAGTACCAAGAAAATCGGAACACTTTTTCAAAAATCGAACATTCTGCAGATTTAT